AGCACACAGTTTGAATATTGACCAATCAAAGTCCTTGTCCCGCCTGCTTCATTTGCATGCAGTCTACTAGTAGTACTAGTACTACTAGTAGGCGCTAAAAAGTCTACTAGTACTACTAGTAAGCGCAAAAATTTCTACTAGTACTACTAGTAGACGTTTTTTGCGCTTACTAGTAGTACTAGTAGACATTTTGGCGCCTACTAGTAGTACTAGTAAGCGCAAAAATGGCCACTAGTAGTACTAGTAGACGTTTTTGACCTTACTAGTACTACTAGTAGGCGCTAAAAAGTCTACTAGTACTACTAGTAAGCGCAAAAAAGGCCACTAGTACTACTAGTAAGCACATTTTGACCTTACTAGTAGTACTAGTAGGCGCTAAAATGTCTACTAGTACTACTAGTAAGCGCAAAAAAGGCCACTAGTACTACTAGTAAGCACATTTTTGCCTTACTAGTAGTACTAGTAGGCGCCAAAATGGCTTTTACTAGTAAGCCATTTTGCCTTACTAGTAAGCCAAAATGGCGTACTAGTACTACTAGTAAGCGCTATGGCGCCTACTAGTAGTACTAGTACGGTCAAAAACACCTCTACTAGTAGTACTAGTGCGCAATTTTGGCTTACTAGTAAGGCAAAATGGCTTACTAGTAAAAGCCATTTTGGCGCCTACTAGTACTACTAGTAAGGTCAAAATGTGCTTACTAGTAGTACTAGTGGCCTTTTTTGCGCTTACTAGTAGTACTAGTAGACTTTTTAGCGCCTACTAGTAGTACTAGTAAGGTCAAAAAACGTCTACTAGTACTACTAGTGGCCATTTTTGCGCTTACTAGTACTACTAGTAGGCGCCAAAAAGTCTACTAGTACTACTAGTAAGGTTGAAAAACGTCTACTAGTAGTACTAGTAGACATTTTTGCGCTTACTAGTAGTACTAGTAGACTTTTTAGTGCCTACTAGTAGTACTAGTACTACTAGTAGACTGCATGCAAATGAAGCAGGCGGGACAAGGACTTTGATTGGTCAATTTTCAAACTGTGTGCTGCAGAGCCTTAAAGGACCAGCTCTGAATTGCAATGAGGAAAACTACTCTGCAGCATTCATTAACAGCTTCAGAGAGATATTTTAGCAGCTTGCAGTGATATAAACTTTATGTTTGATTAAACTGAATTAGATTTAAAGTTAAATTAGGCTACATTATTATTATTCAGGCCTTTCAGAACTATTGTCTCGTAATTACAAAACAAATCTGCAAACTCACAATAACCACAAAAGAAATGTTGGTGCAAAAACTGCTGAAATAACGTTATATTGTCCTGAGCGTACCATGTTAGGCAGTTACATTACTGTTAGGCATTGTGTTGGCTTCTTAGGCCTCTATCAGTTCACACATGAATAATATCCTCTTGCAGTCAGGGATCCTGCAGTTTCAGTCTCCCCTCTCTCACATGTTGACACACAGGCCCCATTCTGTGCAAAATGGTCGATGTGAATATACTGTGGTGTACAATATATTTGCATTTGACGCATAAAAGTTTAAAATAGCACTGTAGCAGGTGGAAAGAGGTTCAGTGAACCCTCCTATGGAATTTGACCTCTGACCCCTTGTTTTGTACTGTACCCTTCTATGGGTTGGAGCTTTATTTTGCGGACTCTGACCCTTCTATGGTGTCTAACAGATACCTAAACAGGTCCTATATAAGCTGTGTTTGATGTACAGAGAGACAGAGTGGCCATCGGGCTGGGTCTCTCTCCAAGCTGCTGCAGAGTTTCTAATTGATGCTGAACTCCTTGATGTAATAAACTTTTATGATCAAGAACAGTGTCAAGCGGATTTCTTCTCAACACATCATCGCAGCATTATTGTTCGGACACCACAATACACACACATACATGTACTGTTTAATTGATTCATTTTAATTGTTAATATTTTTAAAACACACACACTCACAGAGGTCTAATGAAGATGGATGAGACAGTGCGCACACACACACACACTCTCACAAGTTTGCAGTTTTTTTGATTTATTTTTATTTTAATATATTTAACACACACGCACACTTTTACAGTTTTATTTACTTTATTTTATATATTTTTTTATAGTGATTAATGAACTGTAAAAAATGAGTTTTTGGGGGGAAATTTAGCAATATTGTTGTTTTACATTCATGCCAATAAAGCTAGATTGAATTGAATTAATCTTGGGCAGTTACAGTGAGTTAAATGTGAGTCATTTATTTGTTGCTGTAAACAAAAATCCTGTTTGCAACTCCCTTTTGCTACAGATCAGACAATATACAGTCAATATACAGTACAACAATGATCTTTAAATCACCCACTGGCCTGGGCCGTGCACATCCCAGGCCAGCTCCTTTCTTTTGTTGATTTTCAATTTTATTAATCCAGAAACTCTCCTCCACTTAGGCCTCTCAGCCACCAATACCGTACCTGTAGTAGTGTGAGAACTGACTTCTGAAAATAATAAATTTTTGTGTTTTTAACATCATGTGTTTAGGTAAATTACATGTTTTAGCACTTAAAGCACTTAAATAACAATAAATAACATCTGTCTCATGCTTCTGTCAGTCCTTTAGTCTCTGTAGACAGCTAGAGGAGTCTGGGACAACATTATATGCTCACAATGAGGAGCCGTTAAAAACAGGTTTGTTGAAGGAGTAGGCTGCTGGTTGAAACTTCAAGCATAAACATATACATATCAGCATGTTGCTATTTCATAACAGGGGGAAGCTGAAAACCATGAGGGACAACCCTCTCATGCTCTCTATGCTGAGCTGAGGAGCTCCTGCAGCCACATGCAGCCACATGCAGCCCCAGGCCTCAAAGCGCTTTGGAGGCTCGTTTCTGCCGTCAGCCATCAGGCTCCACAGCACCAAACTGACAGATATGTGCCTGATTTTATCTGAGACATTTTTCTGGTTTTAAATGGTTGTAAATAATTATTATTGATTTTATGGTGTAAATAGTGTGTAAATACTGCATCTCTTCTTTTATATTCCTTTGTGCTGCTATTTCGACCTAAATTTCCTCCACGGGATTAATAAAGTCTTATCTGGTCTTATAAACTTTGATAAACGTGAATGTGACAGTTTCTTTTTCTGCTGAAGGCCTGCTCATTGTTCAGAATGCTGTTAAGTAATTACATCTTTAAAAGGCATTTATTTCGAATCACAGAGTGGATATTCCCTCTCCCAGTATTTCTTTTGATAAAACATTCATGAAAATATGCATTTTCACACTTTATTCTGCATATATATTAAGCAAAGAGCTGGCAGTTAACAACACAGAAAATTGATCAGGCTTTAAGGGGTTAAATTTTGGCGGCAGGAAATTCAAACTGGCCAGCCAATAGGAAGGTTCCATGATTTGCATTTAGTGCAACTAGTACTACTAGTAGACCATTTTGGCTCTTACTAGTACTACTAGTAGACACTTTAGCGCCTACTAGTAGTACTAGTAAGGTCAAAAAACGTCTACTAGTACTACTAGTAGACATTTTTCTCTTACTAGTACTACTAGTAGACACTTTAGCGCCTACTAGTAGTACTAGTAGACGTTTTTGCGCTTACTAGTAGTACTAGTAAGACCTAAAATGTCTACTAGTAGTACTAGTAAAGATTTTTACACTATATTTAAAGGCAAAATGAATGAAAATATGCTTACTAGTAGTACTAGTAGACATTTTAGGTCTTACTAGTACTACTAGTAAGCGCCAAAATGTCTACTAGTAGTACTAGTAGATGTTTTAGCTCTTACTAGTAGTACTAGTAGACATTTTAGCGCTTACTAGTACTACTAGTAGACATTTTAGCGCCTACTAGTAGTACTAGTAAGGTCAAAATGTGTCTACTAGTAGTACTAGTAGACGTTTTTGCGCCTACTAGTACTACTAGTAGACCGCATGCAAATGAAGCAGGCGGAAGAAGGATTTTTATTGGCCAATATTCAAACTGCGTGCTGGAGAGTCTTAAAGGACCAGCTCTGAATTGTAAGTTGAGTTTACAGATTTTCTCAGTTGGTTTTGTACGTTTCTCAGATCTGAATTGAAATTGTCGAAAACAACTTGTTCAGCCTCCACATCGCCATCATCATCTCGTCATTTGTGCACATCATTAAAGCAATTTCCCGTTATTTGGAGAAATTGCAAATGCTTTGACACATTGATGTAAATATTTATGTATGTCTGCTGTTGACAACATCATCAAATGGCACGACACATTGTCAAAAGCTTAAATAAAGTCAAACTTTAATTTCATTCTCCACAATCAAGCTGCAAGAAATGTTGTTTTTGCACATCGTCTCTGATCCTGCAGCCGAAGAGGCTTCTGCGCGCTTTTCACATGGTCAAATCTAACCAGTAGGTGGCAGCAGACATCTGCGTAACGTCCAGAGACGCTGGGATCATGAGCGAGACATCACAAGAAAGCGGTTTTAATAATGTTGTTCATCGCGTTTGGAATGCGCTTGATGTTGCCAGACGGGAACTGGCGTCGCAGAGGGACGAAGACAACCTGCTGAGAGCCACAAGGAGCACATTTAGGAGGCGAAGAAGAGCGGGTCCGATGGCAGGTAGTTAGCATTAACGTTACAAGTTTAAAGTCAATGTCTGCATTGTCCTTTTTACTGTCACCGCTAACTCACAAGTGGCTTCCAAGTTCTTAATGTGTGACATTTTCCACTTAATGTTGGAACGGTAGCTATATTTTATTAAGCATAAGCTAACGTTACTGTTCCATCAGCTGGTCGGCGGCTGGCAGTTACAGAAAGTAAGTTAAGTTAGCAACAAAATGTGAGAGGTTAAGTGTATTGATCTAGTGACTGTAAGAATGTAGGGGCTGTCCAGATTGTCATTTTTTGAGCTTCGTTAAGTTAGAATAAACAGCGGATTGTTGACGTTACGGCGGCCGGGGGGGGGGGCGGACAAAGTCTGGCTGCAAGTGAGAGACAGAGAACCAGAGAGCTCCTTTGCTTTTCTTCTCATAGCATAGGCAGATTAAAACAGCAGGTTATTATTACCTAATAATAGGTTAGCAGACCCATGACTAAGAGAGGACTGCAGTGTTGAAGGGATCGGATATTGAGGCAGAGTGAAATAATTCCTGCGTGCCGAACCGGGTCAGTGGCTGCTGGTCAGAACAGGAGGACCCGGAGCTGAGAGTCCAGAGGGAGAGAGTCTGACCTGAGAGCAGGTCCACAGCAGAATCCGGGTTAGTTTAGGGAGGGAGAGCAGACGGGACGAGGCTATTTCCATTAGAGGAATTTAAACAACATGTTATTATGCAAAATTCACTTTTCACTTTGATTACAGTGACTACATGTTCTACCACAGTTGTATAACTAACGATAATGTGTAATACTTTCTGTTTTGTACAGAAGCACAAGCACCTGTAAATAGGCCAAGTGGAGTTTGGAAAGTGAAGCTCTTCCTGCTGCCAAATGCTGACCAAATTGTCCTTCCGCCTCATGCAGAATGCAGAAAACTAACCAGAGTGGGCTTAGGTAATGTACAATATGCATAGGTTCTGAATGCCAACATGCACTTGAATTGTATTTGTGTCTTTATTTACACGGAAAATGCAAACCTATTTACATTATTGTGGATTTGCAAGTGCTGGATATGACAATCAGTGTGCTGCACTTTTGCAGCAAAACTAAAGATTTGTTTATTTTACACTTTCAGCAGGACTTTTTCCATATTCAGCAGGACTTGCCCTGACTGATTTGGTGAAGCAAACACCCTAAAAATCCAATGCTTATGAAGAGCTAGTCCTTTCGACCACTCAAAGCGCTTTTACACTACATCTGCATTCACCAATCACATACATTCATACACTGAGCCTAAGTGCTCAAACGGAAACTAACATTCACACTCACTCATACACTGGCGGAATCGGGGTTCAGTATCTTGCCCAAGGACACTTCGACATGCAACCAGGGGGAGCCAGGGATTGAACCGCTGACCTTCTGATTAACGGCCAACCCGCTCTACCTCCTGGGCCACAGCCGCCCTTGTATATACATTATGTCACGCATATTGACATCATGTGCTCAAATCATAACAAATACAGCAATGTTTATCGTTCATGACCTTCAAGACACAATAACGCTTTGAATCGAGGTCATTAACTAGTGAAAAGAAGTAAATGATTGAGTCATTGTATTGATTTATTGACAACTATTTTTTTTTGAATTTGACAGGGATCCCGAGTCATGATTTGCCAGGGGAAGGCTCACAAAGATGTTATGCACAACTTTCCTGGACTCTCCCAGAGTTTAATAATTACATTTGCCAAAGCTTTCCCACAGTTAGCCTGAATGTAATTGGATTTCATCTCGCCAGAGCTGACAAGTCCAGGGTTCTGAGTAAAATTCAGGCAAATACACTGGAGGAGGTGAGGACAGCAGTTGGCAGAAGCAGGGTGTATATTATTCCCCAGACCAATATTACACTGCCACAGGTGAGTTGTTGTTGTATTTTCTCGCCAGCACTCCTTTTAATGTTAGCACACTGATGATAGTTACTAAACAGGCTTTTGTTTTGTCCGTCAAGATCCCAGGACCTGAAAGAACTCGTACCCTGCCAGAAACATCTCCACCTGATGGACCTGAGTCTCTACCTGCTTCTTCATCATCCACACCACCAATGGCCACACCCACTACTTCACCATCAGCCATCAGATCTGCAGTCTCACCTGCTGCCCCCCAGCAATTCATGTAGGTCCAGCCCTGTTCCCCGCACCATCAGCCATCAGACCTCCGGCCTCACCCGCTGTCCCCCAGGTCACACCGCCTGCTCCTACAGCACCCATCGGCATGCCACCGGTCACATCTAGTGCAAGTTCCCAGTCCCCTCCCCTTAGCGTCATGTCCCTGTCTTCGACGATGGACAGTGATGCGGGATCACCGAGGACAGACACGAACCCATCACTCGTAAGTTATTGTAAAGCAATAATACATTTGTATGTACTTTTGATAATTCACACCAAAGTAAAGAGTAATCTTAAAATCCTAGTTAAAAAGTCATCCTTTTAGTTTAGTTTTCAAAGCTAACCTCAGTGAAATATGTAAATGGTCATTCTTGTCAACCAACAGGAGGCAAGTTTGGATCCTGCACAGTGGGTGAACGCTGGCACCCCAGAGGTAAGTTTTAGTTCTGTGATAAGTCGCATTTAGGATGTTTAGCAAATATTGATATTTTGAGACATTTTCATTTCATGCACAATTTGTACCTTCTAGGTCTTTTACAGAAGGGCCCGTATGGAACCACTCAACAGGTCTGTCATAGGTTTACAAACAGGAACCGTGTGTGACACTGCATTCACATAAACAGTCTCAATACTCATCTTTAAATTTGACAGAGAATATCAGAATACGCATGTAGATTACCAAGACCAGTAGTCTGCAAAGACATTTGGGTCCAAAAAAGGCCTGACTATGTAATACTGACGCTGACAAATAAAAAAAATCTGAGCTTTTAGGACTCCTGTCAATGACCTTGTTATTGCGGACCCTGAGGAAGCGGAGGAGGACGACATTATTGCAGTTCCATTTGAAAGTGACAGTCCTCCGTCGGTAAGTTAAATTTTTTACACTGCATTCAACTGGGAGAATAGTTTACGTTTATATGTAATTTTTAAGGACACAATACATTACACATACACTATAATAAAAGAATGAGATATTGCCACTATTTAAAAAGGAAATTCAAAGACCAGACCAACCTTTTTGCCAGTCATTTCTGACGTACTTTTTACATTGATGTATTTTAGGAAGATGTGGATCTTGCCATCATTTTGAGGACTTTTCAAGAGGATCACCTTTCTCACGGCCTGGTATCCACCATTTGTGTCAGGAGGAGAAAGCTTCTGGAGAGTGCCGTTAAAGCCATCTCCAGAAACGCTTTCTGTTGGACCCACTCACCACTTATTGAGTTTGTAGGAGAAGACGCAGATGATATGGGGGGACCGCAGCGAGAGTTTTTCAGGTCAGAATACCTAAACTAAATTTCTTCAGTGTTTTAGAACAAATGTTTGCATGGGGAGCTGCACAGTAATACACATCGCTGTATTTCTCTTTTCTGTCCATTTACTCTAGACTCTTGATGATAGAGGTACAGACCTCCCTGGGCATTTTTGAGGGAAAGGCCGGCCAGCTCTTTCTTAGTTACGACCAAGCAGCACTAGACCAGCGTAAATATTTCAGAGGTGGCAACCTCATCGCTTGGTCGATTGCCCACGGAGGTCCGTGTATCAGAGCCCTGGACCCCAGCCTCTTCCAGCTGATGTGCGGACAGGAGCCTCCGCTGGAGCAGTTTGACTGGCGTGTGCTCCCTGACCCAGATGTGCAAAGCAAAGTCAACAGGGTACTTTGTAATTATCATGTGAATATTTATTTGGATTTTAAACAAACATTTCTTTACTTTGGGTCGCTGTTGACAAAAGAACATTTAATGTCTAGCAGGACAAACACTTGCTCAATCTGGGACTCCTGCTACATTATTGTCACTCAGATTTCTGTCCAAGATCCTACAGTGCAAGACTGCAGGGGACCTGACTCAGCTCCAGCAAGACCTGGGGGACTGGATTGCAGAGTGCGGCGTCCCAAGCGTATTTAGTGCCACAGTTGAAGACATACCAAAAGTCTACGCATATGTAGTGAAGCACTACATCTTTCTCAGGTAAACACATTTTACAGTTGTAACTACTACAAAACACTGTCAATATAAAAAAATGTATGTTTCTGCACTTATTTTTTGGTTTGGGTCAGAGTTTGATACATTTATTCCCCAGTATAGCATCAAAGAAATCATAAAAATTATGTTGATGTTGCAAATTACCAGGACAGAAAGAGAAGCTGTGAGCTGAGGATCAGTTGGACATTTGCGTATTGTTTGTCAAACAGCAGACAGATGTACTGGACCTCTTGTGCAGGTGTGCTCCTGGGTTCTCTCTTCTCTTTCTGTCCTGGGTTGGCCACTGAAACTGGAGAGCCATTGTAAACATATAATTAAGAAACAGTGTCATTATCATTTTGATGCGGTTGATCAGTCTTTCCCACAATTTGTGGTGTGATTCCAAACTTGTGCACGGTGATGTACATGTTTTATCTCTGTCGCTTTACAGAACGGCCAAGATGATCCTCCAGTTCACAGACGGAATGAATGCATTCGGGAAGCTGTGGGACCTGGTGAGGAAGAACTGGATTGCCTTCCTGCCTTTGTTCACCAACATGCAGGAGCCCATGTCAAAGGCAGCCTTCAAGGCCCTCTTCAGTTACAACTACAGCAGGAGAGGCAGCAACCATCGCGAGGCAGAGGAGGACACCATCTACTGCTGGGAGATGGTGCTTAACATGATTGAAGGTACGTTATTCCTTTATGAAAATGTTAGAGCACTAATTATGAAACCAAACATCCATGAATGTACTGTGACAGAAAGAAAATACAAAGTGTTTTACCAATTTAGGAAAATGATCTTACGCCAATGTACCAAAGCCATTACAACAAGGTACACATTTAGACGTGATCAAAAGTACCTTGTGTCTCAGTGACTGTACTCTGAAGCCAGTCAGGTTTATATTCTCTACATTTGTGATTAAAGGAAATACAGTTCTGATCTTGTAAAGTTTGACATTTGATTTTAAAAATGAAAATGTCACTTAGATGCTTACGTTTTCTTCTGATAGACAAAGTGACTGACCTCAAATTCGAAGACCTTCTGATTTTCACCACTGGAGCAGACGAGGTTCCTCCCCTGGGCTTTCCCAGGAAGCCCTCCGTCGACTTCTATGAACAGGAGGCAGGCCTGCGCCGTTTGCCCTACGCATCTACCTGCACGATGTGCCTGTACCTGCCGAGAGGCGTCAGTCAAGAGGAGGAACTGCACGAGATGCTTTTACTGGCCACAAGAGGCTCTTTGGGATTTGGAAAGGTGTAGAAGCTTTGATAAGCAGACGCTCCCAGGCAGTTAGCAGTAGTAATTAAAGTGTAAAGTAATGAAAGCGGATGTGTGTTTGTGTTAAAGAAAATATAAAACCTTTTAATTAAATAAATAATAAAACAGTAAGCGTTTGTGTGTGTGTGTTTGTTAAAAAAATATATTACAATAAAATAAACCAAACAGCTGTGTGTGTGTGTGTGTGTCTGTTAAAAAATAAATATATATATATATATATATATATATATAATATATATATAATTTAAATAAATAAAATAACGGTAAGTGTGTGTGAGTTTAAAAAAAATATATATATATATCTATTAAAAATAAAATAATCTCTGAATCTCTATTTGAATGCGGGGTCAAAAACTGCTGCTCACAGAAAAACCTTAGATAGTCTTTGGGTGAGCTTTGATAGGGACTGAATGATGCAATGAAACAGCATGTCTGGCTCTGTAAGAGAGAAACTCTGGGTCTGTTGAAGAAAACCTGTAAGTGAACAGGTTAGGGTCACAGAGAAACCCTGTTTGCAGATTGCAATTTGACACCATTCAATGTGTCAAATTCTGTCATAATTTTTGTTGCTCCATATTTAGGGGGGGGGGTATAATCTGTACAACTGGGTAAACACAAAATGAACATGATGATATGTTTTTAATGTCCTCTACACATTTTACCCATCGGTGTTCTTTGGGGTCAGATGACCCCAGCCTGTTTTAGCAGTATTAAACATATATGTGTAAGCAGAAACATTTTACACACATTTGTTGTGTTGTTTTGGATGCAACTGAGGTCACCATGACATGCAATGTTATAATATTCCTTCAGGACCTTATATTGGTAGAGCTAGTGTCTCATGGGTGTGTTAGTCATTCAGTAGACAGCTAGAGGAGTCTGGGTCAACATTATATGCTGTAAATCATAACGATGAGCCATTAAAAACAGATCCATACACATTACTTATGGTTATATAAACATCAACATGAAAGACTGTGCCAATGTTGCTATTTCATAATAAACTTTGATAAAAGTGAACCTGGTAGTTTATTTTTCTGCTGAAGGCCTGCTCATTGTTCAGCTGTATGTGAATGTAAATAAATAATTACATCTTTAAAAGGCATTATTTTGAATCACAGAGTGGATACTTCCTCTCCCAGTATTTCTTTTGATAAAACATTGATGTAAATATGCATTTTCAGACTTTATTCTGCATATATATTAAGCAAAGAGCTGGCAGTTAACAACACTGAAAATTGATCAGGCTTTAAAGGGTTAAATTTTGGCGGCAGGAAATTCAAACTGGCCAGCCAATAGGAAGGTTCCATGATTTGCATTTAGTGCAACTAGTACTACTAGTAGACCATTTTAGCTCTTACTAGTACTAACTAGTAGACACTTTAGCGCCTACTAGTAGTACTAGTAAGGTCAAA